TGTATTATCTAACCTGAAAAATTGCACCAAGATAATTTGCCTTTTTTTTTAAAGTAAAGCAGGCAATGCCCAACAGGTAAGTTCAGCCCATCTTGTATGCTGACATAGAACTAGTCGGAACAAAAAGGTCTCTTTTATCTTGCCTGACTACTCATGATGCAAATAAACAATTTAGCAGGAATTGTCTCCTTTCTCATGAAGTTTGTTTCAGCTTTGTTATTCACAGTGAAATTAATACCAATATTTTTAATCAGTAATTTTAGAGTTATTCTCATTTTTAATCTTTTCATTACTTTGTTTTTCGTGCAGATTCTATCCAGTATTTGAAAGGTGGAATCAGAATAAGCTATCTAAACATTGTGTTTTACATTGGAGAAGTAGAAGTTATTGCACATCCTCAAGTAAAGTGGTAAGTTATATTTTCATATTATTTAATTATTTTGCAAATTTAATTTAAAAAAGTAGTTAGAATTGGTATGAATTGTCTCAACTTTACTTTCCCCTTTGAGTGATACTATAAAACATTTAAATCTGAAGTATCAAGCTGTTGAGTTGTTTGTTTGTTTGTTTGTTTGTTTTTTAAAAATCTTATGCTATTCCTATCCTAGGTTAACCTTCAGGTATCCCTTTACAATGGACTGAGTGCAAAAGTGAAGTGTATTGTCTAGTTCCTAGCCAAAGCTAAAACCTGGCTATTTCCATCCTTAAATCCAGCATGAAAATCAAAATAAGTTAAAAATTTACGAGATAGTGTTTTATCACAAATGCTGCAATCCAATTTGCTCACCAAACAACTCCCTTTCTATTATGACATGATTCATGGGTGGTGAGTGAAGTGAGCAGCCAAAAAGTGAAGAGCTGAAAACAAAACAAAAAAAATTAAAAACATGAACCCAGTGTTGTAATATTGCCATTCTGTTGTTAAGGCTGGGCTCCCTGTGCCCTGCCCGCATTTTGCATGACCAGCGGTTTCACTTTATGGCTATTTATTATCGTGACCGCCATCTTGTATTTAGTCTTTAGTTAGGTTCTAAGTGAAGTAAGGCCTATTAAAGGTTCGAACTCAACACCCAGTTTGATTGTAAGTTTTGAAGAACTAGTAGATTTAAACCAGAAAAATAGATCATTGGCTCTCAAATTATATGTACAATTGTTGATTTGGGGTTTCCCCTTATCAGTTACTTTGAGAGATGTGTCTGGAGCTTATAATTAAATTGCTAGATAGGTTGTAGGGTCCTCCCGTACAGTAGAATATAATAATTTAGCCCCCAATAATAAGCAATTATTTGAGGAGGTTGAGCATGACATCATGAATTATCAATGCTGAGGTCTGAGTCATCTGCTGAAGCCGGGAGGCTGAAGTATATAAGTTAAAGAGACACAACTTTTGATAATTCGTTATATTATATGAAGACCAATTTCAATCATTGTTTTATTAAACTTTTTTTTTAAACAATCTGCAAAAGATTAGATACCTCTCACTGAGTTTGCACAAGTTTGAGAACATTACACAGATGAGGGGCTTGGAGGCTAGGTACACTTTGGACTTGGCAGAAGCAGATATTGAGTTATCAAGTCAACATCTCAGGTCGACTGTATGCTTTTGACCAATCAGAATCTTCATAGTAAGTCTAATGTGTAATAATATGATTTGTAGATTGTTACTTGCTCATCTTTGTTCCTTGTTAGGTTCGAAATGTAGAATCCCGGTGGCTTAGGCTGTTACTTAAGATGGCTGACAACTCTCCACCAAGCATTGAGGATGTTCCATCCCAGATGAGGATGACACAAATACGTGAAATGCTGAGTAAAGCAGCAAGAATGAGGAGAACTGACTCTGCAGGTGATCTTATGCCAAATGTAAGTACTCAACTTTTGTAGCCTTTTGAAAGCATGCTGCCTGTTCAAGCTGGGTTATGGGGGCCAGAGCCAGGACTATTATTACTTTCCTTTGGATGGGATGCCAGTTCATCCCAGCCTACCATCATCCACACCTCCTCTCATCTTTTCAGGTTTTTCTTGTACATAGAGAGAAAGGAAATTTTCAGAATTATTTTTCCAGCCATGAGTAATGAATAGAATGGAAATGTGACAATGGTTCAGACCACATCTCTTATTTTTTGAGCATTAACATGAGTGTTCCCATGGCATAGATGGAGATTTTATGGAGCTGAAGTTTCACCATGTGTTGTGATATACTATGAGTAGAAGTATTTAATGAGGTTTTCATCTGAAATGTAGGCTGTTGCCAAAGAAATCAAGCACTTTTACAGTGGATTGTCAACAAAGGTGAGAGGTAGTGATATGACTTAGTATGATTCAAATTTATGTCTATGGTGAGCTGGAAAATTCTTTAACTCAAAAATGTAGTAGGAAGAAATTTATTGTATCAGCAGCTTTACCAACTGTAAACCCCAAGGTGTACTGAATAGCTGTGTAAGAATGTTGGTAATTGTGAAGAAGAGCTCCCTGTGAAACCCTATCAGCTGACAGATAACCAACAGGCCACCAACATGCTTCTGACAGGTCACCGATATTGGCAATATGCCCAAGAAGAAAAGGGAATAACAAAACTTTGACTATACTTTAGGTGTAGTTTGGATGAGAAATATGGTATTATGGTGATATCCTCACCAGCAGATCATTGACAGATTATTGACTGTCTGTCGGCCAAATAGGCCTGCTTAAAACTGTTGGCAGAATCTATCAACAGTCATCTGACTTTCGTCCATCTGTCTGCCATTTGTCAGCTGACTCTTGGCCAACTGTAGGCTGACAGGTTATTTCAGGCTTCTTCACAATTATTAGATTTCTTTCCATTAAATTAACAGAGATTTATTTTGATAAACAATGACATGGCTTTTTAATTTGAAAGGCTGAGAAACTGGCATTTTTCTTGGTTCTGGAACGAGATCTTGGTGTAGACCACAACGAGGTTCTAAAAGTGGCTAACAGCTTGGCAAACTCTCAGGTAAACCACAATAATTTGCAATACATTTTAATCACAGCTAGTAGATGCTGATGATGTGAAGTATCTATGTGATTGAGATATGGAAGGGGAAACATCTGGGGCAGTTTTTAAAAGAAATGAAAAAGACTTTTTTCCTCAGTGACAATGTTGAGTTATTTATATCACTCTAAGAGTTGTATTAACTAGTTAGAAAAATCAGACAGATGAAATTGCTACAGACTCTTTACATAGGCAAGATTTCTACCTTTGACCAGGATAAAAAGCTCTGAACACTTTGCTCTCTTATATAAGTACCTCACAAGCAAATAAATAGCAAGGGGCCACTGTCTGATTTATCACCAAATGATCAGACTGTACATCAAGAGAAATGGACAGAAGTTATGAGTTCCTAGAAGTGAAAGGGTTAGATAACTAGTTGGTCTGAAGAACCTTTACCCCTGAGCAAGTTCTAATTTATCAAATGGCTTTTTTTTTTTTGTATGTTTCATTCATAGGAAAATGGACTTCCAGCCATTTTAAAAGCAGAGGAAAAGCTGCGGCAAGCTCTTGAACCAGCTCATATCCAATTATTGTCCCAGATCAGTAAGCTTCCAGGAGGTGTGAAGGACATTGTTGACATGAGAAATGACTTGTTGGTGAGTGAGAGCTGACTACAGGAAATGACACATTTCCATGATTGAAAAGATCATGTTCTTTATGTTGGTGCCCTTAATTAGGGCAGAGTTAATAGAGGGGACAATTAGGGCAGCAATTTCATTACTCTGACTCTGGCATTTTACTTGTGCTAAGAAGTAGATATCAATTTTTGATTTATTTCTTGCAAGGAAGGGCTGAGTGAAGAGAAGGATCCAGTTGCCAGACAGGAACTCCAGGCTCTCAGTTCATCCATCAAGAATCTCTTGGCTCAGTGGTTTGCTGTTGGATTGTTGGATCTCAGACAAGTCACCTGGGAATCAGCTGGTAGTATTCTAGAAAAGGTGCTTGTTGGCCAACTGGAGAGATGATTCATGTCCTCTACATTTAAGTATCTCAGTTTCTAAGAACTGAGATTCTCAAATGTATCTCAGTTCTTAGAAACTGAGATTCAGCTTATTCAAGGCCATCTACAAGAACAGTGGATGGCCTTGAATAAGCTGAAACTAAACAAAGACAAAACTGAACTTCTCTACCTTTACTCAAAGTATAACCCTCAACAGTCTCTACCTCCACTTCGTTTTGGTTCTGATATAATTCAGCCGTCCTCATGTTCCAGAAATATCGGTGTCGTTTTCGATAGCACTATGTCAATGCTCCCTCATGTCCGATCT